AATTTGTCCATTTATCTTAAATAATTTAAAATAATAATGCATCCTTTTGAAGAGCGTGGTGAATGGTACATTATTTTGTTAAACAAATTGTTTACAAATTAATTATTTAGTATTAAAAACAACGTTTGCAATGAGTTTAACCATTTTTATATTAAGATAACAAGAAGTAGTTTGAGTAGAACTTTCTACAATCAAAGTTAATAGTTACTGAAGCCATACAATTTCAAACTGATTACAAAAATGTTGTAGTTTGTGCAAAGAAAATCATTTTCATTTTTTCTCAGTGTATGTTCCTGTTTGTGAGTTTAAATGCATATACTTACAATATATATATATGTATATGTGCATTAAACATACTGTACTGTATGTGGTGTACGTGAGTGTGCCATGAGTTGAGTTAAACATAAAACTACCGTTTGATCGATCGTTTTGATTAAAAATGCAACACATTTCTGTATGATCTGTCACAGACAGCAGACAGCCAGACAACCAGACATCGGCCTGAAAGCAGCCGCAAAAGTCTTTGACTGCCTCTCGGTTGCCCCTTGCCGATTGCCGCATGCTGCTTGCTGCTTGCTGCTGGCTGGCTGCGGTCGGCAGTGAGACAAGCGAAATGTTTGTTAAAGTGAAATTAACGTCGCCAGCTAACAGCCTACCAATCAACAATGCCAGCACAGTGTCCACCACCAGTGTGTGTGAGTGAGTATGTGTATCTGTATCTCTAGCTGCAGCTGTAGCTGTATCTATAACTAACTCGCCACCAATACAGCTGCAACACACGCATCATCTTTGTCTTTGGTGTGTGTGTGTGCGTGTGTGTGCGTGTATGTGTGTCTATGGCTGTTTTTATTTATTTATTTTTTTGCAGACAGGCAGCAGCCTTTCATTGGCATGCAGTTGTCGCCGTGTTGCCAAGTTGCCAAGTTTCCAACCATCGTATTTTCCGCATGATTGTTGTCGACGCTTCCTCAAGATATATATACTTACATATACATATAAATAAATATATATGTATATATACATCTATGTAAACCGAAGCCAGCAGCTCATCTGGGTTTGCCACTGCTTTCCAGTTTTGTTTTACAATTAATGAAATTCGATCGATTTATTAACTGAATATACTTTGTTTGTATTGCGATCCCTCCTAACCCCCACTTCATCATTTCCACTCGTCATATGTATGTGAGTTTTGACAATTTTTCAGCTGCATTTTGCTGTCCATTAACCTTCATTAGGCTTAGCAGTAAATTGTTTTTGTTGTTTTTGTTGTAATTGCACTCGTTATTTAATTTTCTTTTTGGTGTGATGTTTGAAATTGTCGTCGTTGTGTTGACAGTTTCGATCGTCATCGATTTCACAATTGAACTTTATTTATTTATTTGTTTCTCTTAATGAACTGTGTGAAACAAATTCGTTTTCGTAGTTTTACTGTACTATGTTGTGTGCAACCGCCAATACCCACCCACACACACAACCAATAATAAAAGCGGACCCTGGCCCCAAACATTTTGGCCAGGCTAGCGCTCTGAAGCTGTCTCTTTGTTTAGCTGCTTGTTGTTGGCCAGTTTGCTGGCGCATTTTTGTGTGCAGCTCAAATTGTTATTGCACAATTTTCGTTTTCGGGGAATTCAATGCAATTACCACAACTGGCCACAGTAGACATTGGTGCAAGGGGGAGTTAGCTTGAAAACCACTTGAAAAGTGTCGACAACAAAATGCGGCTAATTGTCGCCAGCAATTGTTGCGCATAACACTTTGTTTTTTTTCGCTAATTTTATGTTTTTCTTTTTTGTTTGCCGCCATAAATAAATACGTTTATTACCCACTGCTGCTTGTAATGCAACTAACGAAACTGATTTAAGGCCAAGAACCAGTCAAGTTAAAAGCAAAGCTTCTTTTAGGGCCAAGCACGTGACCGCTCCACCCTTTTAGGGGGGCGGGGTGAATGGCAACCAGTTTGTGATCCTTTTCTGGGAGCGTGGTCACCGTTTGGCTACTGGGAATTATCATCAACACCTTAGCATTCTCTGTCTCTCCTCTCTCTTTCTATCTTTCACTATCGGTCTCACGGTGTGTGTCTCTTTCTGCTGCAGTCAAACACGCAACCGGTAAAAGTGCATGCCTTGGCATTATCAAACTGAGGCATCAATCTGATGGGGCAGCAGCAGGCAACACAATTGCAATTTGCAATTGGCCTGGCCAATTACCAGGGGAAAATGGAGCATTGATGCCAAACTGAAAACTAGTTTGGCTAGCATAGAATAACTGTCTAAGGCCTAAGAGAGTGGCCAAGTCACTGCTGCCCAGCTGCCCAATGATTATGCAATTTACATGATGTTTTGTATACGCTAACCCCTCGGGGTGCTAAGTCGACTTTGTCAAGCCAATTGTATATGAAAAAGAGAGAGAGAGAGTGTGTGAGAGAGAGAGAGAGAAAGAGGAGTTAGATTTTCTCTAGTTGCGCCTGCAACTATCCCAATTGACCGGGTTGGATTGTTGTTCCATTTTTTCATTGCTGTTGCATCTGAATATAAATCATTTTTGAATACTGCCCAAATTAGAGACTAAATAATCATAAATAACTGGGTTAATTTGTAACGCTTGCATGCATGCGTAATGAACCGTTTAACCCGATTAGCAACAGAGCAACAACCGCTACAGAAAAAAAGAACTAAATACTTCTGATAGGTTTGTTCGTTCTTTTTTCTTTTTCTTTGGCTGTGATAAGTAGTTTAAAATTTCTCAACGAAGCGTACAAATAAAAAATCGAAAGAAAATCGATAGCGAAGGGAAAAGCTGGGGCACCATGGAAAAATGTTAATGAAAACGAAAATCAATTAACGCTGTCATACCAAAAAGCGAGAGGCCACAAAAAGAGTCGGCTATAAAAACACAGTCTCGAGACTCGCGATCTCTTGGCCCCCATCAAGTTCAAAGTTATAAATGTGCCACAGCGCGTGCAGAGTTTATTTAATTTTTTTTGTTTCGATTTTTGGTTTTTTTTTCATATGTGTTTGCCTTCGCTGACGGCATACAAAATCAGTTTCGAAAATCGTTTGCAATAGCATTTTGTATTTTTCTTGTATATTTACTTGTTGCTGTATTTCCTGTGCTGCATTTGAAAGTCACAGGCACAGAATTATTCTGTCATTGGCCGCCTGAGCTCGGGGATCAATTACCTTTCAAAACCAATTTGCATTTGAAATGCATAACAAAATCGTGTGCACACAATATTTTGGCAGTCACACGCTGTGCCCCAAGTCTGTGGCACTCTGCTTAGCAGTTTTCAGTTGTTCGATTTTTTCGTTTTTTTTTTTTTCTACTGTGTTTTGTTGCTCAGCAATCGCATTGTTTGCCAGCTGATTGGCAGGCTTTCAAATTGCAAAGCGAATGCTGCAAATGCAGGTGGCTTCAACTTCAACTGTGGCACCCACACAAATTGTCTTATCTTCCAGGCAGTTGCTCATTATTGCAACAGTTGCCGCAGCAGCAATAGCAGCAATGCCGTTTCTCGACTTTACCTATAGGTGTGTCAGTAGTTGCAACTGTTGCTGCTGCTGCTGCTGTTGCTGATTCGATCACGTGGCTCTGATCAATAAGCTCCAGGCACGCAAGCACTTTTCCCTCTCGCTACCTATCTCTCTCTCTCTCTCTCTGTCTGTCTTTATGTCGTCTCTTTTTCTTTGGCAAAAAAATATGGGTTAATGCGCAGGCAACAATTATTTGTTTTCATTGTTGATTGTATTTGTGTTTGTTATTTGTATTTGTTTATGATGCTTGACGCTGTCCGTTATTAACAATTTCTTTACTCTTACTTTTGATTAGGCAATGAGTTGGCGTTATTTGCATCGCAGGCGGATTAATTCTTGAAAAGTAAATCTGATGATGATTTGTCAACGCTCAAGTGGCATTTGATATTTGTGGGTTATAATAACAGATAGATGGAAACAACAGCGCAGCTTTCATTTTCAGGCTGGCAGGCCAAACATTGTGCAACATTTCCCATCGCCGCCTAATTGAATTCTTGCATGCGATGCGGCGGCATATGTTGCATGTATTTGTTTATGCATCACAATTACGGCAAATTAACAGGCGCATCTGTCAGTCTGACAGACTGTCAAACTGTGGCTCTGGCCATTTGTCTATTTTGTTACTTCCAATACAATGTAAATTATGACAGCCTGTCCATAATTAATCAAAGACTTAGGGCCGCCATCCGGCAGATGCCGGCCCCAGCCGAGCAATTGCCTGCTGCCATTTAGTCTCAATTAACACACGCAAATTATCCAGAGCTACCAATAGCCACAGACCATTGACCATCGAACCACTGACAGTGGCTGCTGTTGTTGTCCGCTGTGAAATATGCGCAGTATTTGAAAGTAAAAACAGTTCAGCACCTACTGGAATTTGTTATACTTGCATTTAGTATAAATGCGGAGCATTCAACATTCCCAGCCTTTTGTGTCACTCAACCAGTTTAGAAATTCTACTGCTTTTGAGTGACTGACTGACGATCTGACGGACTGTCTGACTGACTGACTGACAGTCGGCCTCTGCTGGCCATGGTGAAACCTGATGTGATACGTGTAGCGATTTGTATTTCAAATGACGTCTGGTTCCGTTGACTGAGCCAATGTCAGCTGATTGAATTGCAAAATCGAGCTAGCTCTGCTCTGCAATCTCCCTCCAAGATACATTTGGCAATCACCTCCTCTAGCAGCTGCTAGCTATTCTATCTGTCCTCCTTCACACATGCATATATCATTTGGCATAATGAATACCCAATCAGTCGACTAATCAACTAGCCAAATATTCGAACAGTGTTGAACAAAAGCTGCATACTAATTTTGCAAATCAATATACTTTACACATTCAACACTTGCCTTGATTTATCGGCAAATATTTATCACATCGATTTCTAGCGAAACTCTACTAAATTATCATATATAGCTTGAAAGTTGAACAGTTTTAACTAAGAAACTTTACCTTTCTCTTTGCAGCTTGAAGCTGGTAGATTTGCATGAAAATTGCAACCAAAAAAGGTATGTATACAATTGATTTCATTATTAACACGTAAGACGTTTTGCAAAACACCAGCAAGATGATCAAATATGCCATTTTGAACAATAAATATTTACCAGCTGCTGATGTCAGGCGAAGCTATTCATATTTTAACACCAAATCGCAATAAAGACTTCCAAAATAAAATATTTCTTACAAATAGCATAAGACCAACAACAAACCGCAGCAGCAACAGAAGATGACAAGAAATAAACAACAACAACAAGCACAACAACAACGTGCTGTGAGGCAGACAAAAATCATTTATGTTAATCAACACATGTTTTTCGAAGTCATTGGCCAGACCCGTAGACCATAGACCCGAAGACCAGAGGCCCGACAGATCTGGCTAATGTAATGTCTGCCACACTGGACTGTGTGTGCTTTTTGTTTTGTTTCTTTTTGTTTTGTTTTTTTCTATATGCATATTAAAATGCCCAAAAAACCGAAACAAAATAAATATATGCGACAAACGTGTTTTTCTCATCTGTGTGTTTTTGTCGCACAACAAAATCAAATTCAAATTGTGCGCCGTTGAAATTTGCGCTAATATTGCCATTTGTGTTACTGTTGTTGTTGTTGTTGTTAATATTGTTGCTGTTGCCGCTGGCAGCATTGATGGGCCAGTTTGGTGCTGATCGTGTCGTCGTTGTCGTTGTTGTTGCTGTTGCTGTTGCTGTTGAAGGTGTAGACACGAGAGTTATTTTGCTGTGCCGCCGACTTTATATGGCCGCCCCATGCCGTACAAGATATCTGCGTGCCTCGCTGTCGCGCTGCGGGTTTTCTAATTCTTATGCAAATATGCAGTGCCAATGCCGACGAGTTGTTCCCATAGCTGTTGCTATAGTTGCTGTAGCTTCTGTTGCTCCCAAACTCTCTTTATAAAGAAAAAAAAACTTGATATGTAAGTATTCTTCGCCCCTTGTACATGGCGCTGTTTTGGATTCTTGCGAAATTTCTGTGACTCAAATCGTCAAACTCGTCAAACACACATTTCAAAATCGAATTCACATTAATTTCTAAACGAGTTAAGCGCAAAAGGTGAAAACAACTTTTATGCGCTCAACTCTCGAAACCAGAGACAACAGAGAACAACAGCAATGACAACAACAATGATAACTAACACTTTTAAATAACCATAAGTGACAGAGCAGATAAAAGCTGCCCATAAAGTGGTAACTGACTCGCCATGTGACGTGAATGCGGCGCTTCTGTCACCGAGCAGATCAGAACCAGCTTGACACGAACAGCGCCACAACTGTAAAAGCAAACAAAACAAAAAATGTGCTCAACAACATTACGCATACGCCCCGTGATGTGTTTGTGTTTTTATTCCCAAGACATGACTCACAAAAGATGACTTGATATATGAGCAAAAACACAAAACACTGCACTTTATAATGAATTTCAGTTCAAAAGAAATTTATTTAGTCCACGTATTGACTGAACAATTTCCGATTGAACATTGCAAAATACCCATATCTTGGCATTTATTGGATTTTTCTAAGCCAATTTAATAAAGAAACTTATTTATTTGTTGACAATAAATGAGTTATCCATGCCATCAACTCAAATGATAACAGAACAACATGAATCCGGTTTATTATCTCACTTGAAGGCCAGCGTTGCTAATACGCACGCGATAATTTCGACAGCTACATAATTACCCAACTAATCAGTATTTATAGCATAGATAGAAATACCAATGTGTTTTTTTGGTGGTTGTTTTGTTAGTTTATAAACCTGTTTGTAATATTGGAAATATAAGTACATAAATCGTATGAAAATCGCTTCAGAAATCTGTTGATAACTACATATCAATAACCACCATAAATAAATGGGAAATCATATAACTTTTACTTCGGCTCATAGAAGACTTTCGGTTTTTTCCTTAAATAGTAGTTTCTTTATGATATTGTTTTTATTGCCAAGTCATTTCTGTTCTGTTCATCTGCAGCAGTCATAATGTGTCGCTCTTGTTTCCCATTTAAGCAGAACGCGTCTAAATATGCCCGCCTGTTGCTTGATTTGCGTTAATCTTAACGCCGCTTTTGTTATGCTGCCCCAAATGGAATGGAAGCCCGCGTCCGATGCCTTTCATTACCAGGCACAGCATGGCTCCAGCCATCATCTCTCCGCTATCCGCTCCCCTTACCACTGCTGAAGCTTGTTAATTGTGTGCGCTGCTTATGAACTTGACATGCAGAACGAAGGCAAAGCGTTGCATTCAAATCAGTCTATGGCTATATAGACATGCTGCACTCATCGGCCGCAATCTGAGTCCGTGAGTCCATCTGCTTTGTGAGCGGGGCCACAACATAAACTCACACTTAAAATCAATAAACGTAAACTGTGCAATGCCTGCCCACCTACGAGTGGTGCGTTGGACATGTGTAAGCTATAAAACTATAAAATAGCACAAACTTATGCATACAATAAGCATAAACAAGCCATGCATAAATCGGCCGCGACAAGCCCTACAAAACTATGCCGAAAAGAAAATGCCGAACTCCTTTCAAAGTATAAAGTTGTTCTTACATGGGTAAACAAGTATTTTTATTGCTACGCATAAAAGGATGCCCAACGGCTATGGACCAAGTCTCAAACACACACACAACGCCAACGGGTCTCCCCAACCATAAAGACACTTAATTGCCATTTTATTACCTCAACTATTAGGCCTTAACTGCTCGCCAGCACAGTCACAGTCTGTCCTTTATTAGAACGTGTACTCTCTCACTTGTCCTGTGCTTCATTTACGGATAAAAAATGAAATAAAAAAAAAACAAAGAATGGTTAGGGCACATATTGCACCACTATGCCACAATCAGAAGGCACACAGAAGAACAACATCCGTTGATGGTGGTGGCATGCAAAGTGGCTCTGGTCTGTGCGCCCTTCAACGACAGCAGTCCCCCAGTCGGCGATATCTTTAATGAAATCTGCATGTTTTGTGCCTTAACAAGCATTTTGCTTGTCTACTCTTGTCGCTCGCTGTCTCGCTCTCTCGTTCTCTCGCTCTGTCTCTCTCTCTCTTTCTCGCTCCTTCCCTGTCTTGAGCGTAGATGCGATCCTTTTGTGTGGGATTCCTTGCTAGGCAGACAGACAGACAGATCAGGCGTTCCATTTGCTGGCTTTGGCTGATCGCCAGCTTTGTTGTTGGCCAGGCAAATCTTGTTAGCGCAAATATTAACTTGTAAATATGATGATACCCCATGGAAATTGTATAAATCGCTGATAAATATCATTAGGTCTCAACTGCCAAACAACTGGCGAGACTCCATTGCTTTTATTTTTTCTCTTTATTTATTTTGTTGTTGTTGTTGTTGGTTTTGATGTTGCTGTTGTTGTTCTGTTGTTGTTCTGTTGTTACTTGCAGTTGTATTTGTACAAGTATTTGTATTGCAATGTGCCTTGCAATTCTATTAAGATTTTTATCTTAAGTGCTTGTTCAGCCTATTTGCAGCACTGCCAGAGAGCGTATACTTGCTCGTACTCGTAATTGTTTAGCAAATCAGTTGAGAGGGAGGGTTCTCTGTGCAATTGCAATAAGTGCTTTGCTCTTTCTGCAAAATGTTGTTCAGCTGTTGTTGCTATTGCTATTGCCATTGTTGTGCCTGATTGCACAGTAGTTGCTGACAATTTGCAATAACATTCGTTTATGGACAGGAAGTGCGTTAACTCAATTGAATTGAATACAATGCGAATGTACTATGGAGATGTGTAGGAACTATCATTACATAGTACTCGTATCTCATGTCTTATCAGTCAGCTGGCTGTCACCAGGAAAGGGGGTTTGTTTGCTTGGCTTAGCTCCTGGAAACCACCATTATAATGCCAAGCAGACCCAACACGCTTTGCGCTCGTAAATAACCGCATAGAAGCCAACCAACGAAAAATAGTTACTGTATCAACAAGAAAGACGTGACGAATGCGCTAAACGAGCTACTTTAGAGCGTGGGAGTTGCATTCTTCTCTCGAAGTTCATGGGAAACACTGCAAATGGCGCCATATCATTCTTGCTATGCCCAATCCCAGTCCCAGTCCCAATCCCTGTACCAGGCCCTGTTGCTATCCCGGCGATAGAGTCACTTAGCTGCTCATATTTCAAATAAAACGTGCACACAGGCTGCCTACTCATATACCTCATATATGCATTCAAGTTTATTATATATATATATATATATATGTATATACACAGACACAAACACACACAGGCAGACAGACACACTTGTCCATATTTGGGCTGCTAATCAGTGCCGCCCTATGGGGTTCCAAAGCCATTTGGTAGTAATTTGGAGCACTCAACGCGAGCAGCGGGCCAGCGGTGCTGCACAGTTGGAAATGCAGCACTTGGCTAACCAAAGCACACCACAGCCACAAAACGCTAAACATATCGCTGCATGGTGCACGCTGCGTATGCGCATTATTTTTCAGACGGGTTCAATAAACGATTAGCTGACCGCCCAGTTCTAAGAGACGTCGACGGTATTGTTGTTGTTGTTGTTGTTGTTAGTGCTGCTGTTGTTGTTAGTATTGTTGGCGTTGCGTTGCGTGTGCGTCTGCCAAAGTTATCGCGGCTTTTTACACTAAGACGATGGCTAATATGTCATTTGGTCATTGATACGTGCGACGACGGCCGAGCCGCCATGCGCATGCCGAACAACAAGAAAGAAGAAGAGTTAAAAGGGGCAATGTGGTGCAGCCTTTGGTGGTGGTGTGAGGGTAAAATGCGGCACCACGGTGCGACCAAAGCAAAACGCTTACTGTCAGTGTGAGGCGCGTATAATTAATTGCGCCTATCAATATCGCTGGTGTGTCGTGGTTGTTGTTGTTGGTGTTGGCTGTTGTTATTGTAGCTACAGCAAAAGCTGCACGCATATGGCCAAAGCCAAAGCATAAGCCAAAAAGTTGGCTGCGTGCTTAGCCAGGCCCCCATGGCCATCGGCAGCAGCAGCAGCTCATTGAGATAAGCCTGTCC